ACAGCATTCATTTAAAATCTGTGATCTTTGACTTTATATATGAATCTATACGAGATGTCATGGATGGAATGAAAAACTGTCCTTTTCTGTGTGTGGTGTGTGTGTGTGTCTGTGTGTGTCTGTGTGTCTGGTGGTCTGTGCTGTGCTTGTGTGTGTGTGTGTGTTCCAGGTTGTTTGAAGAAGCAGCTACCAAACTGAACCTGGTTGGTCTGGTCGGCTTCTTGCAGCAGCTCAGGAAAGCTTCTCAGTCTCAGCTTTTCAACTCTGTTACTGAGACTGTAGACTACTCACTGGCAATGCCAGGTACACAAACACACACACACAGCACACACGACACACACACACACCACACACACACACACCTCTTTACGTGTATTGCTTCAGTGAATACCTCCTAACTGTAACCTCATCCATCACCAGTAACCTTCAAGTCTCAAAGCATCTGGCTCTCAAAACCTGATGATCCCTTTTAAAATCAAACAAGTGATGGTTCTGTTATTTGAAGAGAATAGTAGGATGAAGAAGGAATTGAGTATATGACATTACGTGCAAATGGCATGTAAAATTAGCTAATACAATTATTGAATGCTGTACACAAAGTGACCACAATTTTAAGATTAAACATGATTAAACCTAATCTTTAGTTTGTATCTAGAATGAAGTGTAGAAGGTCCACACTTACTTTGGTTGGCATTTTTCATCTCTCTGTTGTTCTGCTCTCTAATTACAGAGTTAGAAACACAAAATCTTTAGTTGGATAAAATAAAGGCATGAACAAATCAGCCTCATCAGTATTTTTGTTCCCTGTGTGTGTGTGTGTGTGTGTGTGTATGTAGGGGAGGCCAAGTCAACAATGGACCGACGCAGTGCTCTCCATCTCTTCCGTCTGGGTGAGGCCATGCTGCGGATCGTCAGGAACAAGAACCGACCATTGCTCCACATAATGAGGGCCTGGAGCGTGGTGGCCCCACATCTGGTGGAGGTGGGGAACTGCACCCTTTTTTTAAGAAAACGTTTTAAAGACTTCATCAAAAGCTTTGATGTAAAATTATTATTTTTTTTAGTTCAGCAAATTAAAGTTTTTGCTTGTACAGTCGTGTGCTTGCATACAAGTCAGTTTTTGCTCTCTACCTTCTTGATCTTCTCCTTCTCTATCTCTTTCTCCTTTCTAGTGAGTTACTCTTAATTTCACACAATCATCATGTACTTATTTTAATATTTAACTCAAGCAGCAGCAGTTCTAGTAAATGAAATACTGTCAGAAACTTTATTTGTTGAGAATGTGTTCAAAATATGTATGAAAATAATAACATAAGCCAAAATATGTAAGGCAGTTACTGCACAATGCACTTTGAATGTACACATAATGTATAAATAGATGTAAATGAATATCAACTTTGTAAAGAATATAGTTAAAGCAGTTTCTCCTTTTCCCAGGCGGCATGTCACAAAGAGCGCCACGTATCCCAGAAGGCCGTTTCCTTCCTCCATGATGTTCTGACAGAGGTGCTGACGAGCTGGGCCGAGCTTCCACACTTCCACTTTAACGAGGCGCTGTTCAGGCCCTTCGAGCACATTATGCAGCTGGAGCTCTGTGACGAGGACGTACAGGACCAGGTAAAGTCAAATCTATCTTGAAACTCAGGAAAGTTTCACATTTTCTATCAGGACGTCAATCTGAATCATTACATTTAGCACCACACAGTTTAAAGGACACTTCTCTGCTTGCCTCCCTGCAGGTGATAACATCAATAGGTGAGCTGGTGGAGATGTGTTCTCCTCAGATCCTGTCTGGATGGAGGCCTTTGTTCAGTGCTTTGAGGACCGTCCACAGCAGCAAGACCGACACTAAAGACTACCTGGTGGGAGAATACTCCATGGGTACGTCTGCTGGACTCTTTTCTAAACCAATAAGCGCAAATTTGATCAAGTTTATCATCTGACAGATGTTACTTTAAAGAAAATATCTTTAAAGCAACAACCAACATTTTTCATCTTTTGTCAACTCGCGACTTTTTCCGCCTCCTCTCATCTTCCGTGCCTCTTCTCCCTCCCCCTTTCCCTTTCTCCCTTCCATCCCTACCTTGCATTCTCTCCCCTAGGGAAGTCCCAGGCACCAGTGTTTGATGTCTTTGAGGCTTTCATCAACACTGACAACATCCAGGTTTTTGCCAATGCTGCCACTGACTACATCATGTGCCTCATGAAATTCGTCAAAGGCTTAGGTTTGTCTTACTTGCATAGGCTATTTTTTCAGTTTGAGATATTACTTTTACGAGCCTTTCGGGATTTTATTTCTCCTGCAATCTGCAGTAAGCTGTGTGTTTGATGTGAGATGCTCATGACTGTACAGTTTGTACGGTTACTTCTTTAATACATAACAGGAGGGGAGAGGATTTATATGTGTGTAAATGCACTAATGTTCCTCTTGCAAGCTTTTCTGCAAAAACTTTCAGATCTCTAATTTCAGATAAGATTTTACAACTTAACAATTTATCATATTGCAGCAAATAGCACAAAATTTAACTGAAACTTTTTTTTGTCTACGCTTAATCAGTATTTCAATTTTTTGCTTTTACAATTCTCAACATTTTTGATCGAAGACAAAATATCAAAAAATAAAAATGTTCTGTATGGCTGTATGTTGGTGTGTAGGAGAGGTGGACTATAAGGAGATTGGAGACTGTGTCCATGTGTCGGGGTACAGCTCCACTGACCTCTGCCTGCCTGCTCTCGATTACCTCCGCAGATGTTCACAGGTAGGAACCCTCCTTTTCACACCTGTTCACAAAAGCACTGAAGCAATTTTTTTCCTTGTTGAACTCCTAAAGGTCCAGTGTGTAACATTTAGGAGGATCTATTGGCAGAAATGTAATGTAACATTCATATGTATGTTTTCATTAGTGTGGAAGTAAGTTGCTCCTTCATGCTTGGAAGGCAAACAGTTTTTAGTTAGATGCAGTCTGCAACTGCAGCACTAGATGCCACTAAATCCTACACTCTCGTCATTTAAAACAAGAGTTTTAAATTATAAATAAAAATTTCCTGATCATAGAAATTACAAGAACACATTTTCAGTCACAATAAGTGACAGAATAACATTTATATAATGCAGTGTACAGTACTGTAAAGATTCAGTCCACATTCTTGTTGAGATAGCCACAGATAGCAAAAAATAGTTTGCAAGTATTGGTTCCTCTTCTTCCCTGTTCCCTAATAAAGCCGTGTTGAATTTGATTGACAGCTGCTGGCAAAGATCTACAAGATGCCCTCCAAGCCGGTGTTCTTGGGAGTTCGGCTCGCCAGTCTGCTACTGAGGTCACAGGAACGCTTAATCAGCACTGAGGACGGGATGGACTGCGTCCTGCAGGAGTTTGATGATGACACAGGTAAACTCTCTTTTTTCCTTTCATTTCTCTTTTTTTGTTGTTCACATCAGTTATTTTCTGTCTTTGTACTTTTTAATCCTCTGTGTGCCCCTTTAACACTCTCTACTGCGTGTTACTGTATTTTCTGTCCTGGTCCAGGTCTGATCCAGGTGTGGATTTTGTTACTAGAGCAGCTGACAGCAGCAGTGTCAAACTGTCCTCGCCAACACCAACCTCCAACCCTGGAGCTGCTCTTCACTTTGCTCAGAGAGGTCACCATTACACCAGGTAACACAGACAGGTGCTGCAAAACTGTAGGTTCAAGTGTGTTCACAGTGTTCACATCCATATTAGCTGAACAGTGTAGGACGCATAACCACAAATAAACGCTCTGATGCCCTGACTCTGCCAGAAGCTTTGTCCAAATAAGCAATCGTACTCACACTTACAGTCTTAACTGTGTCTTCTCCCGCCAGGTCCGGGTTTCGCCATCTTCTCCGTCATCCAGTTGCTGCTTCCTGTGATGTCACTCTGGCTGCAGCGTAGCCACGGCGACCATTCTTACTGGGATGTGGCGGCTGCAAATTTTAAACACGCCATTGGCCTGTGCTGCGAGCTGGTGGTGGAGCACGTCAACAGTTTCATACACTCAGGTGAGACTCACCTGTGTATGTGTGTATGT